CAGTAAGGTCGTGTATATGTTATGCTTACTGTCAGTGGTTCAGCTGTGCTAGTCTCCATGCTGTAGTAGATCAAAAGAATGCAGAAAGATTGACATTAGTCAAGTGGAGATATTTTGCTTCAGAGCAAAGACAAAGGCTAACAATTTTACTGTTTTTTTTTCTGGCGTATGTGGTACCTGTGGTGCGTGGAAAAATGATCAACAATGCCAGTTGAATGTTCAGCTGAAATTCCAGATATTATTTTGGTTTGTGGCTTTCCACATGGGGCCCAGTTTGAGGATGAGGAGTGGGGCATTTTCCTGTTGTCAGTGCAAGTTCTTGTTCCAATACAAGCTGTTAAGTCCTCAGACAAACAGTTCCTGTTCTTGAAGTCAAGGCTCATGCCCTTAGGGCTTCAGCAAGTAGATCTGAAGCTTTATTCCTGTTTCTGTGCATTAAACCTACCAAATGAGGTAGATGGGGACTGAGCATACATGTTGAGACAGACAGATAAAAATCCAGAGAAGTAATGTATTTAGTAAAACTCTTCAGGTTTGGTGTCAGCATTTTTGTCCTTGCTGCCTCAGGCAGCTAGGAGGTAAAGATCATTGAATTGTATTTTATATATTATTTTCTTGCCAAACAGGGCTATAAGTGGGAACACTGAATTGAAGACATCTGATGATGTGTGCTTCTGGCAGCTCATGTGCTAATCTCACAGGTGCAGTTACCCCGAATGACTCTGAGGAATATCAACTACCAGTGTTTTTACTGTCAGTATTTCTGCAGTCTCATTTTACTGACAACATGCCACAGAAGCAGGCTGTTCCCCTCTGTGGCCATGGACTTTGCATGAAGATCTGGCATAGCAGATAATTCCGCAATACGGTGGGCAGCCATTTGGGTTGTGTTTGGATTAGCTGCACGTGGAATTGCAGGGCTCATCTGGTAAGGGTCTGCCATCAGGTGTGATTGTATTGCCATGAACAGGCCTGCTGTCCTTTGACCCTTTAATTGGAAGGATGTTGGATTTTGTGTTGGTCATATCTGTGGGACAGGACTATGCTTACACCATTCATCAGCAACATAACTCTATCACTGAAGAGTCTCCTTTCAGTTGCCTGGTAGTTTTCCTATGTCTGCATCCATGTATTTTGTCCTTTCTTACATTTTGATGATGAATATTTTGGAGTAGAGGAGTATGCTTTTATTTACCCTACATTCTAATTTTCTTTGAAACTGAGTGCTGGAGATTAACTTGTTTTTCATTATATCGGTAGAACTGAAAGAATTAAACACGCTTTTTATGCACAAAATAGAAGTCTGTCTTATGCTCTGACACTGAGTCCCTCCAAACAGATTTTATGAGCTATAAAAGCTGCATATTGGTTAGCTGAAATTAAATGGAGTAAACTTGACAAAAATGTGTTATGGGAGCAATTCTTAAACCATAAAAAATTGATTTAATATTTTTTTAGTCTCATTTAATTGCTGTCTGAGATGACCACTGTCATGAGTTATTTGACGAACTGTCTGCTCTTTCCCATCATAGTTGAATTTTATGCTGTTTATCTGAAAGCCATAAAATTAATTCTGGTCACTCACATGTGAAATTCAGCCTTGCAGAGCAGTCATCTTTCAGGCTGCATACTCTGAATTCTAGAAATGGTCTGTGTATAGAACCTTGATTTTTGATCTGCACAGTTAATAAGATTGTATTTTCTGATGTGGTTTTGTGTGCACAAGTGTTTTCTCCATTTTGCATATAATACGAAATTTTCCTCTGCTTTTAAGTGTATACTCAGTTAATATAAACCAGGAAATAATGCCTAGGAAAGAAAGTAAGGAGAGTTAAATCTGTAGACAGGAACTTTATCTTAATCTGTTAAAACTGAAGTGATCCAGTTAAGTATATGCTTGAGGATTTTGAAACAGTGGAAATGAAAAATAAATTAAAAAGGAGACAAGAACTTTGTTTTAAACTCTAAACCATTTTAAGAGCATCTGGGATTTAGGAGCTGATATAATTCTCTATAATCTTGTTTACTAATCATTTATTGGTAACACCGTTTCATGCATGTAAAATATGAGGACATATTGCCCGTTGCTCTGAGTTGTCATTGTTCTGCTGAAGTGAATGGGACTAGCTGAGGATCTGCCAAATGTTTGCTTTCTATAAGCTCTGTAAGTCTCTCCTTCCTCAGCATAGCACTGTCCTCAGCATATTTCTGTCCCTTCATATTTAAATGTATTGTCAGCATTTTATTCACCATTCAAACCTGTACAAGTATTATAGGATTAAAATGTACATTTAGGTGTCCTTAATTACAGAGAGATTCCTTTTATTTTCTTTTCTCTGAGATCAACCCCTTTTCCCATATGCAAATGGAAGGATCCATATTTCTGCACTTCCAACACTGTCTGATTTTCTTTCTCTCCTTATCTTCTTACACCCTTTGGTGTCTACAGGTTTCCACCATTTATTCTTCTCATACACTGGTTTGTTTGGGCGTCACATAGATAGATCAGCTTTTTTAAATTGTTTTCTGTAACATTTCTCTAGGTCCCCCTTTTTCCTTCTCCTGGGAGGATGTCTGCATTGTGGCCATTTATTACTTTATTGGTAGTGCCAACAGGACAGCAGAAACTTCCTTTTTCTCTAACAGATTGCAGTCTAGACAGTGTAAAAACTGTCTAAAGGATGTAGGCTACCAAAATCATGACTGACAGAAGCCCAGCCAGTAGCTATCCATACCATGACTTTTGTTGGCTTTTAAAAATTATTCTTGGGGAAGTACTTTGTCCTATAGTTACTTATTCCTAAGTTTACACTCTTTAGTAATATCATCTTCAACTTGGTGTATTGAAACTTGGTGTATTGAAACTTGGTGTATTGAAACTTGGTGTATTGAAAACATATTTAGTGAAACAATGAGAAAGGTCCTATGAGCATAGGCCTTCCTTTTACCCCCTTTCTTTTCTCCTAGATCTCAATCTCATATTCAGCCTGTCAGAACAGAGGTGTTACAGATTTGGTACTCTCTTGCCTCCCACATCTCCAAGGCATATAAATCCTTTCAGCTCTATCACCTCTGTGATATTGCTGACATACAACACCCTTGATCAATCCACCATGAAAATTCCTGCTTCTTCCTTCATTTCTTCCTGTTTAGACTGCTACAATTCGCAGCTTTCTGGCATTTAACTGCTGTGATACCCCGTCGGATTGATACTTAGTGCAGTATGCTATGATAACCTGATGTGTTTTAAACAGTGACTACTGTGTGCTATGATTTCTAAAATCTGTGTCTCAGCTGTATCAGAAAACTTGAATTCGTTACACATTTTCACCTTCTAAATCAGCTTTGATGATCTTGAGGGTCTTTTCCACCTAGATGATTCTATGATTCAATGATAATAGTTAATTACTCCCCTGACCTCAGGTGTAGTGCCATTCAACATCAGCTCTGTCTGCTAAGGTAAATTTTTCATTCACTTTTAATTCCAGATTCTTCCTTCTTCAGATCAAAGGTTCCATGGTGAGAGATCAAAAAAGGACTATTAAGTGGGCAGAAATTGAATGGACGTGAGGGACTTTTACGGGGAGAAAGATCATATTTTTATAATACAAAAATTGATGCCACTTTGTTCTGCTGCCTGAGAGCTAATTAAAGTAATTGAAGTTGATCACAATTAGACCTTCAAATTTGTATTGCTTTGAACTGAAACATTTTTATTTAAATTTGTTATTCATTATGCCTTTGCATGTTCTGTGCAAAGTCTGAGCACTGCATAATTTACAAGAAAAAAAAAAGTTGATGGGCTAAACTTCTAACAATACCCTTGAATTTCACACCTGTAATTAATCACTCATGCTCAATTGCAGGCATAAATGTTAGTGTATGTAACTGTGTGCAGGCACAGGGAGACAGAACCTTTCAGTATTGTCACCCACATTAGATTTCAGGCACAAGAAATAAATTGAAGTACTTTTCTTATAAGGGCCAAGTGGCAGAGTACCAAGAGCACACTAGCCTTATATTTTATTATTTTTTATGATAGAAATAACAAACTACAAGGCTGGTGAAATGTGTGTTGTAGACTTGATTTATATACAGCTGTAAAGCATTCTTAGGGACAAATCTTTGTTCCACTGAAGTCGAGTGTGAGTTCTGCTTTTAACTTACACAGAACAAGTGGCTGGACTGGGGTCAGGAGTGGCTGCACATTGCACCCTGTGCTGAAGCCATGGGAGGCAAGCTGCAAGGGTGTGAAAGGGGCATGAAGGGCTCTGCAAGCTCAGGGCTCCCCTGGAGACGCTTCCTATTTACAGCATCAGAAACTCTGCTGTAATGGTCTTCAGTGCTGTGTGAAAATGTTTTTTTTTTGGGTGGGAAGGATGCATTGGAGTATGTGGTGCAATTACAGTCACAATGATACCTCTTCTGAAATACAGCAAATCTCAAGCATCCCATGCAGAAGTGGAGAAGTCCATGGGGTGCTTAAAAATAAACAGTAAACCACAACAAGCAAAAGAATAAATGAAATAACATGTGCATCTTTGGGGCTAGCTGTCGTTTTTAATTTCTGATTGAAGTAACTGGTCTAGAGTAAGATTTAGCTTTGTAATTTGCCTTGGCACTGTTTTATATGGTTTCCCTTTTCCCACTTCTATGATTTTCAGACTTCCCAAGGCGTGTTTCCTTCATTTGGTTTTAATTCAGGCCCAGTTCAGTATCTTAGTGCCAAAACAATTCCTTTGTGGGCAAAAAAGTGAGTGTGCACTGAAGGCACTGACTGCTCTTTAAGGCCATGTTTGTACTAAGTAGAAGAAGCAGACAAAGGCTGTTCTGGGGCACTAAGGCCAGATGACCCGGCACAGCTTGTGTTCATGCATCTAAATTGATTTACATCCCAAAACAGGATGACCTCATCCAAACTTATTGCTAGCAATAGTCCCTAGCCTGTCCTGCTTGGTCTTTTTTGAAACTGTGCCAGACACTTATCTGTATGGGCAGTCATGTGCAGACCTCCACCTTTGCCCTGCCTGTGGTGGATGGCTGTGAGTCCCACCTTACCAGATCATGTGCAGGCAATGGCTGGCACAGACCTCCTCTGTAAACTCCCAGCACTCCTAACTCTTGGGCTTTGCGACAGTAAGGTATCCAAAGCTGTCTTAAGGTCTTCAGGCATTGTACTTCAGTAAATTGTACAAGTAGGCTGATGGAAAAAACACAGGATTTATCTTCAGAGAATAAGTAGAAAACAAAACTGAGAAGGAGACAGCCTTTAAGTACCTCCAAATCACAGTACTAAAAATACTGTCTCAATGTATACATGTTTTTATAAATTATTTACTTCCAAGTTGCTTGTAAATGTAAGTGAAAGTTTTCACAATAGAACATGCCAGAGAAGAGCTAAACCTAGGACAAAATGTTTCATTATCAGAGACCTTAGAGTCATAAAAGTGAAGGCACAATATACAAAACTATTCTGTTTATCAAGTACATATTTAACCAATCCACTCCTGGGTCAACGAGCAAGAGTTTCACACTCAAGCGTCCTGTTGACTTGACTTTTGGTGACTGGTGAAGCAGCACCATTGTGTTGCGGTGCTAGTACAGCCATTTATGATGCAGCATTTTATTCCTTTGCCCTGCTGGGGATGAAGGAGTCAGTGGGTGGTCTCTGCTGCAGCCTTGGCTGCTCAGGGCTGCATCCACTTGAGTCTCAAAACTCCAAGGATGGAGATTCCAGCCCCTTTGGGCAGGGAGCCTTTTCTAGTTCTGAATCATCTTCACATTAAACATTATCTTAGGTCTAGCTGGTACCTCTCCATCTTAGGGTTGTGACCACTGTTTCCCTCATCTTCTGCCCAGTCCCTGAGGACAGAGCCTGCTGTTGTCTTTATGGTAACCTCCTCTTGGGCACGGGAGGGCAGCTATCAAATCCTTCACCCCCTCTCCCCCAAACCTTTTCCAGCCTGAATAAGGCCCAATCTCTCAGCCTCTCCTTATGCAGGGCACATGTATATGGTATTGGCAAAACATAGTGCTACATAAACATTTATTAAAGTACTTCAGAGGTATATTGATTTCTGTCTCCCCCCATGTGTGTAAAAGAAAAATATTTGTGTTAGAAAAAAACCTTCCGGGTATGTTCTATATTAAAATTTATAATCATCTGATGGTTTTAAATTGCTGGTGTTTTGTCGTTTCTAGACTAGTCAGTGCCTTAATCATTCATTCAGTTAAAGAGCATGACCTTGTACTGTTCATGTAACGCTGTATGAATCTTTCAAAACTCATCCGAAGGAAGGTGATGCAGCATTTTGAAGGTGACCCTGAGTTTTCATGTCTTGTTAGGGGTTGACAGCAGAATTCACATACTTAGTATAGCTGAAAAGAAAAGGTGTTAGGCTTGTTTGTCAGTCAGCAGGTACAGCTACATGCAAGACTATGCTGGCAAGGTAATTAAGTCTCTCACAGGGCCTTGCTTCAGTCTGTACATCTCTTGCTTTATTCTGTGCGTGCATGTGATGATCATGTTTAGTTGTGTTGGTAGAGCTCAGGTTCCTTGGAGAGAGGACTGAAGATTAAACCACCCACTCCAGTCCTTAACTTGTATGGATCACTGTGCCACCAAGCCCTCTTTCAAATGAAAATTAAATTAAGCTCTGGGGAGTCTTTTAGAAAGTGTAAGAAAGGTAAGAATGTCCTGCAGCAGTTTTCTGACCTACGTGTGACATGGTTTTTTAAGATGTACCTCCACTGGTAAAAATAATGTGAAGGGAAAGTAGCTTACGGTATGGCCTGTTGATATGGCTTAATGTGTAGGGCTTTTCCAGTCATGAGAAGTTAACTTGACTGAGATAATTATTGACAGATGAACAAATCATTTTACAGACAGGTCTTATCAATCTTATACGCTTGTTGTGATAAATATGCTGTCAGTAGCTGAGTCACTATTTTACAAACTGCAGACAGACAGCTTAGGTAGCAGTGTGTTTGTATTTATTTGGTGTATGCACATTTGCTTTTACAACACAAGCAGGTAACTGCAAAACAAAGTATCTGTGATTTTCGAATGAATGAGTAATAGTTTCACTGTCTTAATTTTTTTTTATCGCTCTGGTTAACCTACAGGTCAAGGCAACAGATGCAGATGCTGACCAATTTGGTGAAATTGAGTATTTTCTTTATGATGGATTTCATTATTATGAAAAATCCAAAGCCTTCCAGATTGACCCACATACTGGTCAGATCTGTGTGTCTCAAGACATTGACAGAGAAGGAGATCCAGCCACTTATGATCTCTTAGTAAAAGCTACAGATGGGGTAAGTTTAACCTTTCCACACTGCCAGACTTTTGAATGCATTTGCAAATTTGGATAGACTGTATACTTTTAAAATGAGAATGTAATGAATGTGAAAGTTGCATGAATTTGAATAGAATTTCTTACCACTACAGAGGGCAGAAAGTGATACTTAGTGAACCATAAATTTTTATCAACCCAAATTGAGAAAATTGGCTGTGAAATCCACAATTACTCCTAAACAAGTTGTTGAAAACCATTTCTAGGATGTGTTAGTCCCTGTGGGTTTTCCTCCTCTTCTCAGGACTGGCGGGCTTCAAGTTATCTCTACTCCCTGCTTTCAAGATGACTGCAGCAGTAACAATCCAGTATCTTGTGCTAGAGCTTTGTGGCTGCCAGGGATATTCCTGGGTAAATTCCTTGTCCTTTCTAGCTAGCTGATGCCATTGCTGCTGCTGTGGCTGGGTACAGCCTACCTGCAATGGCGTGTCTGAAAGTTTTCCCCCTTTACAAGATCTGGTGCTTGGAAGTAGATAGTCGTGGTACAGACATGTCTGTAATTTTTACAGTAGAAATAAATCTATGTGAACATTTTGGAATTTCTCTGATTTGTGATTTTTGTCTTCAAAATTTGTTCTCAGCAAAATTTTGTAGCATACACCTGAGTACAGATACCCAAGCCTTGAAGAATAAAACAGTATTACAATGTATGACAGCAGAAAATTACGTCTTCTGCTATACTTGATCACTTCATTTTTCCTCTCATTCACGTTTTGAAGCTGTATTAACATAAAGAACACATACATGTATCTGGAATATCAAGATTAGTCTTATTAGTAAAGCCTATGTGAAAGCTGGACAACAGCAATGGAATTCTGACAAGTTTCTAAGTTATCTGGTGTGGAACAGAAGACTATTTTGAAAACGTAAAAGAAAATAGGTTCACATGAAATAAGCTTGATGCATTTTTTGGTTACATTATTGCTTTAGAGATAAGTCTTATGTCAAAAATTAAAGGAAAACAGCCAATGCATATTAAATACTATATGTATTAAATACTGCAGAGTATTTCTTTTTTAAATTGATCTGTCATTTATCTTCATTTAGAGACCTTGTGTTTTCAGAAGCTCAGTAATGAAGAGAGGGGTTCAATTTTTGATTGCCTTGTCTGTGACAGGCAGGACTTGATCTTTTTATTGGAAGTCAGCACTTTATAGGTCCCATCGATTTCTTTCTAAAAATTTGCTTATCTGACACTTAAATATAAGGCACCTAAAGTGAGTATTAGCTTTTCAAAATTTTCAGTATATCTGAATTCGTGTAGAGCCACTTTCCACCTTTAGTAGGTATTTTAGTAAGATATTTTACCTCCTGGCATTCCACTGCTGATTTTGATAGATTAAAGAAGTTAGGTGTGGGGTTCAAAGTAGATTTTATGATCAGGGGAGAAATGTGGACGGAAAAGACGGAGGAAGAGTTGAAGGGTCACTGTTGACAAAGCAGGGAGAGAGAGATGAAAAGGAAATAAAATAACAAAGTTAATTAGAAATGAGGAGGAAAAGAAAGTGTTTTCCAAGTGGTGCTCTGTTTATCTTACAGCAAAACTATCAGTTTCCTCCACCTGTTCATGCCTACTCCATTACATGGTTTTGGAGCTTGTTGGTTATGTCTTTTATGCATTGTGTAGAAAGTGTAATGGGAGAACTAAAACTGCACACAAAAGCCCATGGAGAGGCTAGATTGAGAGCTTGTGGGAGTACCCTCACCGATTAAGTGGGACATGACTGATGATAAAATTAGCATTAGCCTTTTCAGTTGGCAGCACCAGTTTTGATCCCAAAGTCACTTACTTCACATACATATTTGGTATTCCTCCTTGAAATGCTTTTATATGAAAAATTATGTGGCTAGGTTTATGGAAGGGTGTTTGCACTGAATCCCACAGCATCTGCATCTAGCCCTCTCCTTGGGTCTCTCTTTGAACTGCGACAGATTGAGAGCTGTTCCAGTAGTGAGGGTGACTATCTGGTGAATCACATGCCACCTCAGCCTGGGACACCCAACATTCAAACTACACCCTTGTGCACTTGTGACAGACCAGAAAGAGTTTCAGTTGGCATCTGGGGAGTCTTTGAATTTACAGTCAGTCAAAAATTACTTGTAAAGGTATTAAAGTTATCTTTTTTTTTTTTTTTAATTTCTCTGGAAAAAAAAAGAAGTCAAAAGGTATGTTGCTTGGGGAACCTCCACAAGCAGTTGAGAGTGATAAATCAGATCAGACATACTGTGAAATAAAGACCGGTGAAAGGAAAACGTGGAAAACCAGGGTAATAAAAATATATGCATGTTTTGAAAGCAGTATAGAGGATAAAATCAATACTTATTTTGTTCTTGAATATCTGTAAATTAGGTTTTATGTGTTCTAATTCTTCTGTTTGGTTTTTTTTTGTTTGCTTTCAGAACGTGACTGAAACGGACACTCCATTGTGTGTTCTTCCCTATTTGCTTGGGAGTCTCCAAACTACAACATACATAAATCTATGCTTCCTTTTATGCTTGTTTTATGTATTTCTGTCTTAGAGAGTCTTAATGTGAATTCACTTTCATACATGAAACATTGGTTTTGGTTTTTTTTTTTTTACAGCACACATTTTTGCTGCTGTATAGTGGCAAGTTTTATTGCTGTGTATCGTGCATAATTCAATCATTTTGTTTATTCACAAACTTTTGATGATGCCCATCACCCCTCTTTTTCTTTCCACCAGATAAACAGTAGACTGTAGTTGTTAAAAAAAATCTGCCATAATCTAGAGAAATTTCACTGGACTAATGCTAATTTAAATTGTCTAGCAGCATCTATACTATCTGCTTGCAGACAACAGTTGTCTGGCCTTCAAAGCCAAAATCCGAGTTGCACAGTCTCGAGGTTGGTGGGCAGTGAGGGTTGTTCAGGAACATCCCACCTTGCCTCTGGGAGGAGCTGGCCCACACAATTTTTCTTCAAAGGCAGGGCAAGATTAGGTGACCTAAGCTGTAAGAGCTGCTAGCAGTTATGGACCAATGCCAGCAACAAACATCTCTGTAGGCCACACAATACCAGTGTACCAGCTGTTTTCATCAGTGGGGCAAGAAGTTCCAGAAACTGCAGAGCACAATCAGGGCTTAAAATCATATCAATATAAGTTCTTTCCAGCTTAATATTGTATTTGACTCATGTGAGGGAATACACTGCTTCTTCAGGAAAGGAGGTTCTGTCTCCATAATAAAGTTTGGTTTGTCTTCTGAGAGATTTGGTTCCCCCATATACTTAGAATTAATAAATTTCCAAAGACTTTGCAGTCTTTACATAAGTCATAGGATAAATACAAATTGGCTGGTGAATGGTAGGTGGGATTTATTTTGCTTGGTTTGTTTTTTTTAATGTCTGTTTAGCAATAATGAAACTTGGAAGAAGCAGTTTAACACAAGTACTCATGAGATTTTGCAGATGGATTTAATGCTGTTCCAATCATCTTTTTGGATGCTTTTTATTCTTGACCTCACTTCTTCCTTGGCCCTGTTCCCTTAAAAATGCTGTGGAGCTACAGAGCACCCTCTGACAGTCAACAAAGCATATGCCTCTCCCCCACTCCGCCATCTTAGCTCCTGTGCAGGGATATCCTTCCTGTGGAAATCAAAGTATTGGGTAAGGGACTCACCATGAAGTGCAGTTGATGTGTTGGCCATGAGCCTGCTAGGTCTTCACATCTCCATATTGGCACAAGGTTCAGGGGTTTATGGCTGTTTCAGTAGTTCTGAGGCTGAAGGTAGCCCTGGTCTCCAGGCATGTGTCCTGGCTACTGGCTGCCTCTGCAGCAGTGTGAGCTCTGGAAGCATGCCTTCTTTCTTCATAAGAAAACACAAGCATGCCAGGAGGATCTGGGCCAGATCTCCTAGACTGCAGTTGAAACACAGACATGTGATGCACAAGATCATCTTAATTTTCCACATACTTGAGCCTTCATGGGCATGTCACTGCCACCCAGCAGAGATAATACTACTACATAAAAAATCAATGGAATAAAAAAATCAAAATGGAATAAAGGAAATATCCCCATGGAACTGTGGAATAGAGTGCTGATAGTATTTGTAGTTCCAAAGTAAGTCTGAACCTGTGGACATAATAAAAAAACCCTCAGAAAAACATTTTGGGAAGATTGTTATGTTTATAGGGCAAGATTAAAGGAGTAGTATCCAGTCTAAATCATTGGATAGTTTCATGAAGGTCAGGTTTAAAAATAATAGATAGGAACAATTAGGTTGCAGAAATATGCAGCCTATTTATTTATTTATTTATTTTTATATCATAACTCCTGTGACTGCAAAATTAACTTTGGACGAGCTCAGCATAACTTGTCATGTACACTCCAACATCCGATCTGTGTTTCTGTAAGTGACTGATTGGCACGAGCATAGCGCGCTCAGCGTGACTTTGAAGAACGCAGGATTCTTCCTCCATCTCTATCTTAATGTACTGCATACAGCACATGCAGGCTATACATACATGTGCTGCTTTGTGCCTCCATTATACATGTCAGTGCCCCACATTGAGCATTAGCTGTGCCACAATGGAGCTGATTTCTTCTAAAAATATTGGTGGTAGTTATGACCGTAAAATAACCTTGGAAATATCAACCCTTTGAAACTGATGGAGGGGGTCCACACGGAGTACAAGGTAGTGCCTCTGAGAAGTAAATTGTCATTTCAGTGCTTTGCCATGGTGAATTGTGATTTTGCTGTAGCATAGTTTGATAAGCCAACTTACAGTTGCTCCTTGTTTCTCCAGTTTCACTGCATAAATATGGTCCCATGGCTGCCCAGGTGGTATTTCAGGGGGCTCTTGGTGGGCATGTCTAGAAGGAGCTTCAACCATGAGGAGAGCAGCTCAGTGGCTGGGCTGAGATTGCAAAGAGGTATGGTGCCAAAGCTGCGACCAAGGCTTCACTCTTTTCCCAGCTCTTTGTGTAGGGACAAGAAACAAGAGCAGGGAAGTTGAGCCAAGGCCCCTAGAAAGTATGGTGAGACATCTTTCCCTGTAAAAACACAAATGTGCTGGAAATAATTCTGTGGAATCAGTTATGAATTTGACATTAACAAACTTGTTTCAGCTATGTTCTTTAGTTGAATTTGGTATTTGTTTTGTCTCTTTGTACACAAAGTGAATATGTGGATACATAGACAAGCACATGTGCATATACATAGAGGTATATATACACAGACTTACATATAAGCAAATAAACATATATGTATAGACATACATGCTGTGTGAGCAGTACTGCTTGAACCTGCCAGGGTGGTAAATTAAGGCTAGCTCTTGCAGGCAGGAGCCTGACAAATCAGCTTTTGGCTGTCCTGCACTCTCTCTCTGTGTTCCTAACCAGTAGGTGAAAAAGCCTCATATTCGCTGTTGTGATGCTCACACTTTTAATTCAGAAAGACTCATACATAGAAGTTATCCCCACTTTACTGGAGCACCACAATCGCCTGAGGGGCATGTGTTTCAGGGGCAGAAAACCCTGACTTTTATCTGTGAAGGAATAAGTAGTGTGTAGGTGACTACAGTAAAAACAAGTGATGTTAGACTAGTAAGGATTTGACACGTGTACTGCTCATTAGTATTAACAAAAATAACTTCATGTTCAGGCCTTGCCATTTTAAGAATTTGAATTTAGTGTAGTCTGTCAGCCCATTGGAGTTGTTCTGAGCATGTAGCTTGCCTAAGTGTAGTATTTCGGGGTATTATAAATACCATAAGTTGTTTTTAACAGACGTTTTCATTCCTTGGTATTACAGCATGTTCTGTTCCTAGTGATGGGCTGAAACCAGATGTGCATCATCTTATTGTGTACACTTTTAAAATTGACGTTGTTTTTTTTGGTTTTATCTTTTCTGATTTATCCAACAGGGTGGGCTGAGTGCCCAGGCTTTTGTTCGCATTGAGATAGAAGATATTAATGATAATCATCCTGTTTTTGAACAAGCTGTCTATGTGACGAGCATCAGCAGTCATACACAGCCAGGAACAGAGATCATCAATGTTGTTGCTACAGACAGAGATTCGGGAATATATGGTGTTGTCATGTATGAACTGGTCCCGGGAGATTTTTCTTCTTTTTTCACAGTGGATACATCCACAGGTATTGTATGAGTCTATGATTCAGAAAGGCTATAAATATACAACATATATCTTTTCCTTGATCATGCTTTTTTTTATTTGGAGTCATGTCATACAGTTGAAACTTATATTCTACTGGAAAATAATTCTAGAGGAAGATGGAGGATTTAGGTTTAATATAAAACCTTCTCATTCACAGAAATGAACAGGAGAATGGGAAACAGTACATGCCAGTACAACACAGAACAAGCAGATTGCCACTTATGCCCTATTTCCAGCCATAAATCTATTCATAATTGTAAGAAATAATAAAAACATTATTTTTTTGCAATAACATCTGAATTCCTGAAATGTTTAGGTCTTATTCTTGAGGAGCAATGAGAGACCCTTCAAGATACTTTTCCTTTCATTTCATCTCTCCATTTTTGTCATAATCTTCTTTCCCCATACTGCGCTGGAACGAGTCCCCATTCTGCTCACAGTCACAATGTCCAGCTGCCTCCCTGCTTGACTTGGTGATTAGGTTTGTAAATATCTTTTTCTGTGTTTTACTTCATGATGTTGCTCTTTGTCCTTCTGGTTTCTGGAGAGAAGTTCAATGAAGAGGAGATAAAGAGAGAAAGAAAACAATTACAGTAAAAGCAAATCTGGGTGAATTTTTTTGAAGACATAGAATCTCACAGATTGAATTACTTTTCCAATGGCCGCAAAGCAGCCCTTGTAGTCTGCTTTCTAACCTTAAGATAGTTATCAAGATCAGCTAGAAAGAACATGAGCAGTGTATCTACAAATGTCCACCATGTCTTTCAGGGAGTGGGTATCTAAACTGAAGCTACCATTTTACTTGAGAGCCAGCCTTTGCATGTGAATGTATCCTTCCTGATCAGAGGTTTTGCTTTGTGATGGTCATGGCACAAACGATTCTTTTATATGTTTTAAGAATTTTTGGGGCTGTTGTACGTGTGTATGTATTAGCTGTTTGGCATACGAAATGTTGCAAGGCTCTATTCTTTCAAAAGAGTGTCTATTTTCACTTTCTTACATGATCCCCAAAATATTCTGATGAACAGAAGAAATTAATCTTCTTAGGAAGTCAATCTGCTTGTCTTGGCTATTTCAGAAGTTACTTAACGGTGGACTTCTAACTGCCTGTCAGATCAGATTCTCAGGGGCATAACTGATGCCAAAAATATATAGGTCAATGAATAATTAGGGAGCTGGATCTCCACAGGCATTTAACTGGTCATTTTAAAACTGCCCCAGCAGGCTTGTCAGACAAAGTGTCTGTGGATCACACCAGCAGTGCTGGCTTTGCAGCAGTCCTCTCTTTTGAAAGGCTTCTTCCTCAGATTGTGACCTTACGGCCTTTTTTTCCAGTTTTGGCAATTCGTATAGGGAAAAAATGTCATGCTTAATCATGAGGACTGTATGTATTTATAAGTTACTATTGTCTGCAGATCAATCATGGTATTTTATCAAAGGCAAGCCAAATTCAGGGCGAAGTTGCTTGAGGTCATTATTGTTGATATTTCATGATGAGAAGAGCATTTAGGTCAGAGACAATTGCCAATATCATAGTGTTTGGAATCTCATTGCACTTAATCAGATCTCCTGGGTAATTCATGAGGTCAGACTGTGTCTGGTTTTTTTTACTTATTAATATTAATGGTGTGTGGAGGGTTTTTTTTCTGAAGAATACAGTTTCCTTTTATATACTTCCACCTCTACCTACAATAGTGCCTATGCTCAGTCACTGGCCAGCAGAATGATTTTTAAACTCTTAGAAAAAATACACATTATAAACAAAATAAATATTAAAATTGCCTATTTGTCACACAGAACTTCTGCCGTCTTTGTGGGTTAAATAGCTGCAAAACCAGTTCAGTATTCATAGCAAGGTGAAACAAGTGTCTCGCTATTATGGAACAGGGAGTTTGAGCTCTTCCTCCTTATTTCGTGTTAGGACAGTGACATTTTCTGTTTTCTGTTGTTCTAATGCTGCCTTTATATGCTCTGATATCTAGTCTAATTTAGATGTGTCTCCAGTCTGAAGGTTATATGAGGGACTTTAGTTATGTGGGCTGCATTTTGTGAACACAGGGCAATGGACAAGAATGACAAGAAGCAGGAATTCTTCAGGATGTGGATCCCCAAACCCATAAGCCAAATAAGATCATATTACAGTTTTTGTCTTTGGTTTCTGGTCTTGTGAATGTGCAGTTTGTTACTGATGTGTTCTACAGGTTTTTTTTTTATTTGCATTATGACATATTGTGGTTTATCTTTTTTCATTATTAGAGGACCTAAAAGGATGTGATGCTGTTGGAGTCTTCCATGAACTTGCCTTACTGCTAAGTTTAATTTTTGAATGATTAATTTTTCTCACTGACAGAACATTTAGAAATGAGCAATGAAAACCAGTGCATTAGTCTTTTTTGACTTATGTTCATTATAGCACTTAGCATTGTACATATAAGTGGACAGAGGTATTTCTGGTATGATGAGATATAAATCAATCAGTAGCTAATGGTTTGTCACATTACACTATGATACATTAAGATCATATGCAAGATGATGCTGTTCTCCGTGGCATATGCAGTTTCTATTTTATGGCACCCAGATTGTGGATTTGAAAATTTATGTCACTGTAGTTTTCTTTGGGGGTGTTTTTGGAGTCCTGCACTTAGAATTCACTTTTTTTACCCCATTAACATTTTCATTTTTAAAAGAGAAATGGATAAAAAAACAGCATAAAACCTGCAACACACATTGTTCACTGCTATGGCTTGCTCCTGGCTGTTGCTTTGTTGAAGCAATTGTATGGATGTATCAAGAAAGCTTTTAGCTTTGCATAGTGAGCTGTGTTTACAATACAGGATATCATATCAGCTGGTCAAACATCGAATGTACAGAATATATCAGTGGTACTTTTGATACATAGATACTATGAGATGAAGCCACATTCAAGCTCCTAGAAGGGGCTACATCTTTTGTTTCAAGCCCTCTGATGTGGATGTTGTATATAGATAAATTTGACAGGAGTGGGAAGGAAAAGCCTTACCTAAAGCAGATAGATATTCCATTTAGAAGTTTTTTGAATTCTAAGCAAGTCTTTATTAGTGATATTTGTTTGCTATTTTAGCTTTTATATTGTGCATTTATTGGTTTTATATGCTCTTGTACTAGTAAATAACATTCATTGCATTTTCCTTTGAGGAAAAATTGAAATGAAGTATTTCTAATTTGATTAATGATAGACTGTCCACAAGAAAAATCACTTTAAGAACTGTGTAACTAGAAAAATGTATGGATAGGAAGCTAAACCAGTTCCTCTGCTAGCTCGTGACTCTCGCTATCATTTGTTTCTAGTGTTGGTGTAAACAGCATCTTGGCTTCATTATGTTTCCTTCTGTAGATACCTAATACATGCATGACCTATGAACGGCACTCATGACTTGATTAGAACAGAGCACGTTGAAGAGCTCTTCTGGCTAAGAAACTGTTTGAGCTATGCTTGTTTATTTTTCCATTATTACCTAAAAAGCTATCTGAAAGACACCTTTTTATAACTATTTATAGTTATGGCTCAGCAAGTAATTAAAAATGTAAGTCACAGGATACAATCACAAGTGTGGCAGAAAACCTGTGCAGTGCCTAATTTTAAGACTTTGGGATTAACCGCTGAATTTATAAACTTTTACTATGTTACAAGCATTATTATTTTCCCTCACCCAAAGGCATATAATTTATTTTTACATCGGTCTTAATGAAGGCCTTCCTCAGAGCTGGATAAGAAAGATGTCCCTGGTTCAAGGAAGCTGTTTTACATCCACAAAATTAATAGTAGTCTTCGAAAGTTGTTTCAGGCCAGTGTGACTTCATGTGTCAGTCTTCAGGTAAATGACCTGTTTCATACTCTTAGAACAAGTGCCCCAGCTAGCCACTGTGTGCAGAGAAAATTCCTCTGAAGGATAAGTAAAAGGCAGCAGCCATTGGTTTCTGTTCGTTTGAAGATGTTGATGATTTAAACCTTGTATGAAAAGGATGTGGAGAATGTAGCATTTAAACAGTGTGTGTTACAGCAATATAAGCATATAATTTTGCTTCCCTGTTTATTTTGACTGTGTAAGATATTTAGGCTTGTGTTTCTGTGGATCCTATCTAAATTAGAGGCTATGCCCTTCCTTCTCTGTATTTTAATGAGAATGTTTCTGTGAGTGTGGTGGGTTGACTGTGGCTGGACACTAGGTACCTGCCAAAGCTGCTCTGTCACTCCCCTCCTCAGCTGGACATGGAAGAGAAAATATAATGAAAGGCTCATGGGTTGGGGTAAGAACAGAGAGAGATCATTCATCAATTATCCTCCTGGGCAAAAAGACTTGGCTTGGGGAAATTAGTTTAGTTTATTACTAATCAAATCAGAGTAGAATAATGAGAAATAAAACCAGATCTTCAAAACACCTTCTCTCTACCCCTCCCTTCTTCACAGGCTTAACTTAGAATCATAGAATGGTTTGGGTTGGAAAGGACCTTAAGATCGTCTAGTTCCAACTCCCCTGCCATGAGCAGGGATGCCTCACTGTAGACCATGTCACCCAAGGCTCTGTCCCTGCCTGGCCTTGAGTGCTGCCAGGGATGGAGCATTCACAACTTCCTTGGGCAACCCATTGCAGTGCCTCACCACCCTCACTGTAAAGAACTTCTTCCTTAGATCTAACCTGAACTTCCCCTGTTTTAGTTTATATCCCTTGACCTATTGCTTAGCCTTGGCCAGCAGTGGAGTCTTGGAGCTGTCTGTCATTGGCTGTATTGCATGTGGGGGAATCTTCTGGCAGCTGTTCACAGAAGCCAGCCCCCTACTACCAAAACCTTTCTACACAAACCCAATACAGTGAGGAATTTTGAGATCCTTCCATTGACTTGAAGATACTTGGATCAACCTTTTGTCATAATACATCTGTTACTTGTTTATACCAGAAAATACATGTTGACTACAACAGACAAGCCTTGTTACAAGAGCTG